CTATTAGACTCTGAAAGTTGTATCCCTTTCATGACCTGCACTTGTCTGACTGATTTATAATTACATCCTGGGGCCCTCTGCTACAATATTTCTCAGGTCTCTCAAGGCCTCCACCATCCATTACCCTTTGCTTGTACTCTTTGGGGACCAAGGTCCACCCAGTCTCTTGGTGGCATTATGAATTCACTGAGGGAGTTGTACCTCCAGGGCCCTCTGAGATGAATATTTGCCCCTGATGCAAGCCCTCCTCTGTAACAGCATCAGGTGAGTTGAGGCAGCATCTTACAGGCAGCTTATCTTGACTCACCTTCTCAAGAATCTCATCAGCTGATAACTAGGTATGGAGGAATGTCATTCATGCCTACTGCTAAATTCCACATAAGGCATCATAGCTTTCAGTTACATTTAGGGGCTGATTTTTTAACTTTTTAGGACATGCTCAGCTTCAGAGCAGAAGCTGCAATATGCAAACAGTAGATGACCACCTGATTTAGCTAAGTTTCCACAGGAGGTCACATGCCTCTTATGCCTGGAAATAATAGAGGAATAAATGCTAAGCTGAATTATTTCTTTGCCTACTCTGTTTTTCTTATGAAAATGTAACAAGAAGATTATTGAGAAGATATCCTTCATGTTTTTTTTCAGCAAGCATTTGACTAGCTGAATTTCTACAGATGTCTCACCCTTCTCCTGTGTGCAAACACACAAAATTATTAGTATTGCACCAACAATGTTATGGCAACTTTATGCAGGACTTCATCCTCCCACCATCTTTTTCTTTTGGTCCAGAGTGTCCTGGGTCTGCTCCCAGTTCTTATGAAGAGAAGCAAACACGATGACTACTGGCTCTGGGACTTAACAGGAAGAGGAGAGGTGCCTGGCTACTGCTCACCTTGGTCCCCAACACTCCAGGAGAAAAGCTTGGGAGCAGACACATACTGTGGGTCTGTACTTACGTGGGCACTCTGCCTCCATGTGAGGTTTCCTTGTGAAACTTAGGTGAAGATATTATTAACCAGACCCTAAGGAGCAAGCAAAGGAAAATGATTCATTTACATCTACCTGGCATTTGTGAGTCTGCATCCAGAGCGCTGTGTTCAGCTTTGGACCCCCCTACTATAGGTGTAAATACACTGATCTCCAAAGGAGAACCACCAGGAAATGTTTGGGACTGGAAAACACAAGTATGTGACATAGGAGGAGAGGCTGAGGGAGATGGGCTTGTTCATCCAGAAGAGATGGCTTTGGAGGTAACCATGGTCTTCAACCAACCACCTTATGGATAGTGTTAGAAACAACATAACCATATTCTTCTTAGAGGTGCACACTGAAAGGACAGGAGACAACAAACACAAGATGCAGCAAGAAAAATTATGATTGAACATAGGAAGAAAGAAGCATCACAGCAAGATTTGTCAGGCCCTGGGACAGGTGCCAGTGAGGCTAGGCATCCTTAAAGGTATTGCAACTCAAATGGACAGAACCCTGAGAAGTCTGCTCTAATTTTGAGGATAGCCTTGCTTTGAGCGTAAATTAGGAACAAATTACTTCCAAACTAAGTTATTTTATGATTCTGTGTTTTTCTGATTTAAGTTAGAGACATAAATCAATGTTGTGGTAAGAAAACCCAGGCTTCTCCTAGACAATCCAATTGCCCGACAAGCATCCTGTTTTGCTTTTCTGGTTAGATTTAGCAAGATTTTTAATCCTCTTTATGTTGACTGGTCAGTAACTCTAAGACCACATGTCAAATAAATGTCAGTGTATTTACCTTTAAATATTTCATCATGTTCTCCTCCTTAGGTCTGTGAAACGGTGGTTGTTCAGCCAGAGCACTGCAATCTGCAACACAGACATTTGTGCTATAGATAAGGTCAGGGGGGACTACTAGCTTAAAGCTAAATTCATTTGCACAGCTTAAAACCAGCAGTGGGACAGTGGTTTTCATTTTCATTTCAATCTCATTCCCACCCCTCTCTCCCCCTCCTCAGCTATTGGCTACTCTCTTTTCCCCATGGGATCCACTTTGCCAAAAGGCCAAAACCTGGGGACAGCTCCAAGAACAGCTGCAGGTATATCTACATGGCACACAACTGTGACGATACTTCAAGCGAGAGTGCTAGTCTTCCCCACTCTGCAGCCCAGACACAATATGTTCGCATCCCTTGGCATCAGCTGAAACATCTCCTATCCCTGTTACTGACTGCAACCACCATGAGCTTTCTCAGATTCTACAGCACCTTTTCTGACTTTTACATGTAGTTTTCTGGGTACAAAACCAGAAAGATTCCTGGCAGCATCTGCTTTAAGTACAGTTGGGATTTTGGGTTACTCTCAGTGCAGCAAGGATACCACTCACAGACATCTTATAGGCAATGAGAGGGACATGTGGAGTCACATTAGCATGAGCTGGGCTTTTGAGCTCCAACCTGCTGAGACTTTGTCACGTGAAAAGGGGAAGAAAACAAGAATTTTCTGCAACCTGTATTAACTTATTTTCTTTGGCTACCAGCGTCACCTAGGAGATCAAAGCCTTTTAATGTCCAAAACAGTCTGTTAACGTCTCACCTAATGAGACCCTTCACTTAACAGACTCACCGAGAGGACAGGACATTTGATACCTATTTATATAAGGACTACACCGAATAGCGGTAGAAAAACCCTCAGCAGGTTTTTCCTAGGAGTTGTTTCGCCATCGACAAAACTGTCAGCGCCTAAAAACGGACTCACTCTAATAGTTCATGAAATAACATGTTTATTAATTCAAATTTGTGACAGTTTATGGGGTTCAGTGTGTCTGGAATAGTCTAACTGCAAAAGAAGCACATCTAAACTATGTAGTGATAATAATAATACAAAGCATAGGCACACATGCTAAAGCAAAAACAGATTACAAAGAATATTACTACCACAAAACATAAACAAAAACTCCAAAGCCAAAAGAACTAACGAAGAATAAGTAAAGATCTTAAAGTACTACAGAGCAATAGTAAAATTAGTGCATGTGTATAAAAAGCAGTTGCTCAGCCCGAAGTGTCCCAAGAAGGTGGAGGGAGAAAGGGTAGCCTGTCGGTTACCTCTGCAGCATTGATGGAACTTCCCCTCAGTTTTTTGCTTATGTCAAATCTCTTTCTATACCTTTTTCTTTAGGCAGTTTTTGAGTGGCTATAATCAATAAATTAATTCTGGGGTGATAGACAGATGAAATAGGCCTAAGGGTCCACTTCCCGAGTTCCCGCCAGCTCAGATGTTCATGAAAAAAGGCCGTGTTATCTCCATATCACTCCTTTCTTCATTTTAATCCTTTTATCATTTTCCAAGAATCCATCAGGAACCTATTTCTTTCTTTGTGTGGCATTATCTATCACCTTGCAGAGTTCATTGGTGTTTTTTTGTCCTATCCAGGAGCACAGTTCCCAGATGTGATACAAGTAATTCTGCATGTCTGGTTGTGTGAACAGAGTGATGATGCCATCATCGGGTCTTACATTTTGATGGGCAAACTGTGTAGTAGTAAGAGAGAGAGAAGTCAAGACCAGAGGGATTTAATTGAAGTACTAGTAGTAAGTGTCTAAATGTCTAATTAATTTAAAAAGCCTGTAGTCCTCAAGGTTTCCCAGAGTTTCCAGGTCCAGAGCTTTTTGGCTGAGAATACATCCATTTAGACTTGCAGTTCAAAATGGGTTCTGGCCACAAATATTTCTTTCCCCCAACAACAATTCTATTTTATATGGGCTGCATAGCATGGAGATCTGAGCTTCTTTTCCAGAATTGTGTTCCCCAAAAAATATGATCACTGAGAACAGAAGAGAAGAAATGTGTATTTCTCAGCAGAAATCTTGGAGGTAAAGAGTGGGGTTGAAAAGCTCTTACAACAGACTAGATAAGCCAAAGGCACATGTTTTGCATTAATCTGTGCTGCTGTGAAAAAATGAGTGGCTTAAGCCTCCCCAGAAGCCCACAGAGATACCTGCGGGGGCAGCCCAGATCCAGCCAGGCTGATGCTTGGACAAAAACCCAGTGACTGAAAATAATTTGATTGGGCAGGTGCACCAAAAGGAACTGAAAAGAGCTTTAGAGGTCAGAGTCAATAAGTGGAAACTTCGTACATTAATTCAAGTATGTTGACCTCTGCCACATTATTTCCAGATAAGTAGAAATCTGACTCATTTCCAAGATACAAAATTCATTTAATTGAATGGCAGAGGGAGTTTTCAAAAAGCAACTTGACTCCAAGTGCTCTGAGGACATTATTAAAAATGTAGTTAGCTGACAATCTGAATGAACTTCTGCGAATATACAATGACATTTTGCTTCATCCAAGTGCTACTTCTAGTAGCCAGGATTTTTGCCTAGACCTTTCAGATGGCATTTGGTCAAAAGCCTGAAATGAAACAATGATCACAGGGATTTCAATTTAAATCATTTCACTGCATAGAGGACAGTAGTAAAGCTATAATTATTCATTGGGTCATGCTCAGCTTCGGAAATGAAGGGAAACAACTGAGAGTACAGCCACTGCAGTGGAATTGATAATGATGCAATGTGACCTCCATTTTCCGTAATTGTCACAGCTGCTATTACAATTATGATCCTTATTCCATCAGGAGGTAATGCTCCTGATATGGAAGAAAGGGGGAAATGTTTGGCTAATCGTTTGGTGGTGGCATAACTGTGGAGGCTTGTTCAGAGGTCATAAGTTCTGTTGCAGCTCTGATGCTTCTGCTGCTGGGTGAAAATTGTTATTCAATCACCCATATCTGCTAATGGTTTGTGTGAAATAACTGGTGTTCAAAACCTGTTCTGCAATGGATTTTTGCACCCATATATTCGGATTCAACACCTTAGAAGGATTGGCAGAAAGGAAAGGGAAGACCTGCTAAAGGGCATACTCTGGAAGGTGCAAGAGACATTTGCCGATGTCAGTGGAAATTTAAAGCAGCAAATCCTTCAACTTCATGAAGACTCTTTTTCTTAAGAACTAGTTTGAGTTTTCCACTCAAACACAAAAAGAAGAAACCCATACTTTGAAGTAAGTATTCTACATTGAATAATACCATCCAGCTCACACACATGTGCTGGTTTAGAAGTAAACCAGTGGGAAAAATTAACCCAACTCAAGAGAGATTACAAGTCAGAGTTACAATTTACTAAAAAAGATTACAATAAATGCAATGTACAGAGAAAACTGTTTTTCACCCCCAACAAACAGATATATAACCCAGCACTCTGGGACAAGAACAGAACGGTGTTCCTTAGCCCCTATGCTGAGCACCACGTGGCCCCACTGGGTGTAAAGTAAAAGAAAAGGAAAACCTGTTGGTCTGGGTGATGATTGGCAGTCCTGTCGAAAGTGGCAGTCACAGTCCTCTTGAAGTTCTGGTCCTCTTCTCGATCCAGTGAGTGATACCAGAAGTCTCAAAACCTGAAGTTTATATATGTTCAAGTTCAGGTGGGAATGCCCAGTACCTCCCCCAGAACAAGGACTTTCACAATAGATAATTTAACTCTACGAGTTATGGGAGATTTTTGGAATCTTCGAATGTTGCAGCTGCCTATTATACCAGTCCATAGTGACCCATTAGCAGAGATGACCCCTCAGGCTGGGTGTGAAGGTGTTAATGCCTTTCTGGAGGGGAGTTATCACAGCTATCACACAGTTATCACAGTTATCACACAGTCATTGGTGTGAAAACAAAGAAAACACTCCTCTGCCTCACAGGGTTTTAACACTCAGCTTGTAGACTGAGGTGTCAGGTGTGCCCTGGGTAGCTGCTGTAAACAATCCATTTATTAACAGTCCATCAGAAATTACATAGAGGGTATAGAATACACAGTTTTGGCTATACCCACATAGCAATAAACTGGTCCCAGCCCCTGTAATAGGACACACATAATAATTTGTTTCATGAATAATCAAGAATAGAACTGCAATACACTGTAGTCACTGCATTAGAAAACAGATTAATGTCAGGTTCCTGCGTAACTGAGCTATCAACTTCAGTTGTACACAATCTCATTTTGAAATACATAATTCAATACATTATTTCAATTTTACTTTTATAAAAAAGGTATTTTAGTGAAAAAGTGCTTCTTAACGTTCAGACAAAATCTTCTGTATTTCAGTTTGTGCCCATTGCCTTCCCTCCTGTCACTGGGCACCACTGAAAAGCACCTGGCTCCATCCTCTTTGCATCTTTCTTTCAGGTATTCATGCACATTGATAAGATCCGCCTGAGACTTCTCCAAACCGAGCAGTCCCAGGCCTTTCAGCCTTTACTTGAGTAGATGTACTCCAGTCCCTTAATCATCTTTATGGCCCTTCACTGGACTGCCTCCAGTATGTCCATGTCTCTCTTGTACTAGGGAACCCAGAACTGAATGCCAGGTGTGGCCTCACAAGTGCCACATAGAGGGAAAGGATCACCTCCCTCAGCCTCCTGGTAATACTCCTCCTAATGCAGCCCAGGACACAACTGGCCTTCTTTGCCCAAGGGCACACTGCTGGCTTATGTTCAACTTGTCATCTACTAGGACCCCCAGATCCTTTTCTGCCAAGCTGCTTTCCAGCTGCTCCCCTTTAGCATGTCCTAGTGCCCAAGTGCAGAACTTTGCACTATTCCTTCTTGAACTTCATGAGGTTCTTGTCAGCCCATCTCTCCAGCCTGTTGAGGTCCTTCTGGATGGCAGCATGACCTGCCAGAATATTAGCCACTCCTCCCAGTTTGGTATCATCAGCAAACTTGCTAGTTAGTGGCTACCAAGCTGATTTTGTGTCTGATCACCACTCTCTGTGTGTGACTGTTAAGTCAGTTTTGAATCCACTTCACCGTCTGTTCGTGCAACCCATATATCGACAGCTTCTCTATGAGGATTTTCTGGAGACAGTGCCAAAAGTCCTACTGAAGTCCAGGTAGAAAATAACCTCTGCTCTCCCCTCATCTACCAGGCCAGTCATTTCATTACAGAAATTTATCAAGTTGGTCTAGAATGACTTCCCTCTTGGTAAATCCATGCTTACTACTCATGATGATTTTCTTGTTTTTAATATGCCTGGAAATAGTTTCCAGAATCAGCTGCTCCTTCTCATTTCCTGGGATCAAAGTGAGGTTGACCAGCCTGTAGTTGTCTTGCCCTTCTTCAAGTCAAGATTGTCCTTTACTTTCCTCCAGTCTTCAGGCACTTTTCCCAGTCTTCATGATTGATCAAAAATTATCAAGAGTAGCCTAGCAACTACATCAGCCATATGGACACATTCCAGCCATATCAATAGGGACGAATTAAAGATCAAAGTATCTCCTTCTTTAAAGGCAGAATTTTACTGAAAGATAAAACATTGAAGTGTGTCATTTTATTTTGAAAAGTGATCTGATGTTCAAGTGTCTGAGTTTGCGACCAGAGTAACTAGGCTCTGCAACTGTTCTCAGTGCTACTGTGTCTAGAGTGTTTTAGGGCCTCAGCTTTCCTGCTCCTGCTATTAAAAGGAATAGCCATAGCACTTGTTCTATGAAAAGCATCCTGTTCTCCAAGACTATTATTTTTCCTCTCTTTTCCAATATGTCTGGACACTAGATACCATATGGTGCTGCAGAGCAATGTCATCTCATACTTTGCTCCTTGGTAAAGGTATAAATTAACAGTTAAGCATTATTTGATATAAGGTATATCTCAACCAACATGTATATCTCATTCTGAAATTTCATGCTGATTTCTCTTTTCTCATGTACAGTAAAACACAGTGGTATGTCTGCAAATTGTATGTCATAAAAAATTGTTAAGGTTCAAGCTTCACACAGTACTTACAAATAACATATGAAGAGAACAGAAGTTTCCTCTAAGGATGGACTTCCTGGCTGAACACGGCCTGCTGTTCCTGCTTTGCAATACTGCTGGGAGTTATTAACGAAGAAGCCACAATTCTTTGCCAGTTGACTGCTATCCCCTTTTCACCTTATACTCTCCTAATGACCTATATCTTTCACATACTTCCCAAAACACAATACAGTATTTAAGGATAATTTCTTCACAAAGAATATTTTTTTCTTCCCTGTAAGGAAAACATAGTCTTCTGGGATCACTAGTGTGTTATCACCCTTGTGTATTCTGTTATCACTTTAGATTCAGCTCCCAGCTGCCTCATTAAGTCATGTCTTCATCCCACTTGCAAGCTCTGCAGAACGAGAGACATGGATAGGCCCCAGGTGCCAGCACTGCTGGTGGCACAGCCCTGCTGGCTTTGCTGAGCACTTCAACAGCACTTGCTTGGGTTGCCTTATTTCCTCAGTGCTTGTGCACGAGTAGGGCTTTTGAAATCAGAGCACAACCTACAAATCACAGTGAGCAAAATCTCTGGACTATTTCCTCCCCAGACCAACTAGGTTTCTAGAATCTGTACTTCCAAAATTATTTCTAGTGAACAGCTAGTGGTGACGGGTTTCACACAAAAAACCAAGGTCTTGCTTTATAAGATGCATAAGTAAGTCAGGCTCCAAAAGACACTGAGTAAGCTGGGTATCCTTCTTCACTGACTTCTGCTGCTGAAGCATGTGTGTTTTGTGTGTGCAGACTCCTGAGACACCAGCTGGCATGGCTCAGTTCTTTCTCCGAAGGGGAACTGCTTTGGTCAAGGCTGATCACTCTTGGAAAGATCTTCACTTTCTAGCTCAGACCAGTTCTGTGAGTTCAGTGCAGAGCCCGGGATGGAGGTTTGTTCCCCCCTGTAGTCCCCAGGACCATGAGTCACTTGAGTAAGGGGCTGCAGGCTAAGTGATCTTGCAGAATAACATCCATGCTGGTTCTACAACATTTGTTTTATTTCAGGTCACTCATAACTAAGGAAAGATTAGTTGTAACAGAAGGCTCCTTAATTTTTCAAATCACAGTTTAATCACAAAAATAGCATCTGCATCTGCAGCTAAGCTGACCACATCACAAGGGGAGGATGCTAAAGCAAAGTATCTCTTGTACCTATCAATTACTACCCTCTCAGTGATAATAGAGGGTCATAGATCCTCTTACTAGGCCTATTCTGACCCAGTGTACACTTCTGCCCACATAGATTAATTGCTGCTTGTTTCACAGAAATATATAATAGTGAAGGCATTTTCTTCTTTTTCCAGACTTTGGCTTCAAAGGTGCTAATTTTCTTCACACAGTAAGCAAATTATCCACTTCAATGAATTGTTCTTGGCAATCACCTTTAAGAACTGTGACAGCATTAGCAGTTATGTGCCATATGTGTCTGTGTCTGCCTAGTCTGTGAATGCACATTTAACAAAATCAGCGTGGTGGCAATGAACAGTAAGGAGAGCATCTTCCTGTAAGAATTTTTTTGCTGTGGTGCATTTTCACCTAGTAATATAGTGAAGGGCAGCACTAACTCCTCAGAATCAGATGACCATTTGATTTAGCTTTATGATCAATCTCTCAGTGCATCTGTCAGTGGAACGGATGGGAAGTAATCTTGCGGAAAATTTTCAACAGAGACCTTCTGTGCCTGTAAATAAGAACATACAGTATAGATATGAATGAGGAATATTACCATATCAATTTCAGAGCTTCACATTCCTCCTTTGATGTTTTAATGTTGATCTTTTGTCTCCTGGAGACAATTTGCTCTTGTTTTCTCTGCAGTAAATGTTGTGAGCAAATTATTGCCTTTCTTCTAAAATTTTCTCTTTTGAAGTACAGGAAGACTTGTGTCATATCTTTTCTGCTTTTTTATTATCTAGGACAAACAATTTATGTTCCTTCCAACTTTTTTTGTGGGTTGTGCTTCCTAGACCACTGATAATTCCTGTTGCTCTTCAGCTGACCTTCTCCCATTGCTCAGTTTCTTTCCTGAAGTACCAAAATTGGACTTGGTTCTGCAGTTGGGTCTCACCAGTACTGAGGAAACCAAAGGAATTATGTATTACTATACTATAATAGATACTCCATTTTTTACATTCTGAGATGCTGTTCCATTTTTTCCCTCTGAGGATGATGGCTATTTTTAACTTGCTCTCAGACTATGATCAAGTCTAGGATGTTGTGTTTTCTGCAGGGCACCCTCTAACCAACGTCCCCTACTCTGTACTTGGGCAGTTGCTTTAGTGTGCATGATTTTTCACTTGTATAAGTGCACTTGGCTTTGTTCTTCTAAAAAGTACCTCAAATTTGTAGAGTTCTTTTCTATCTCCTCTTGTACACCACTGTGTTTTCACTCTCCTTGTACTGGAGTTGCTACCTGTGTCCAATCACAGAGTTAGGAGTTCTACTCACCTAAGTTTCCTGTGAGGGTGGAGAGCATGTTGGCACCTTTCAGGTATCTGGAAGACTGTAAAGCAACTGATTTTTCAGGGAAGAGGTCTGCTTAGCTTCCCACAAATGAAGAAATTTTGTGCAGATACTAACACAAAGGTCAGCTTCAAAAGGACAAAGTTAATCACTCTCCTTTCCCATATTGTGGAAACCAGAATATCGTAAGTATTTGTCCCCATCCTCTGAGTGAAACCATCATGGCCTTGGGCCATTACCTTCTCTGAAGTGGAACTACTTGACAAGTCCCATATTGGGAGCTGGGTGTCATTTCTAGCTATGAGCTTCATCAGTAATACCAAAAGGAGTTCAGCATGGCTAAGGAAATGGTTAAATGCAAATTGACTCAGAGACTTACCAAAGGAAGAACACAATGCTCTTCCAGCATCATAGGTTGCAAAGCATAGGTTATACATTCTTCAGCCTCCACATGTTGTTACTGAAAAAAAAACAAACTGTCACGTTAAATATTTCTGTGGAGAACTTAATGCAGTTCATCAGTTTTACAGAAGGCCACATCAGGAGCGGTGTCTACATCTGCATCATGACCTTCTGCAGATCACAACCCATAATGATCAGTCAATTTTCCTCCTAGGAGCTGAGGCATGACCTGATACTTCAATCTTTCAAAAACAAAATGGTATGTGCTAAGCTGAGAGCCAGAGACACCAGATGGTACCAGTGCCCAAAGGCACCTACAGTTGCAGGAGTTTACTGTATCCAGAGATCCCGCAGATAGTGTGCCATGCTGTAGAGATTTTGCCAATCCAGTCCAGAGAAAAATGTGGCAGTAGAGCCATTGGCAGCAGTTTGTAAGTAAGAGCAGGGTTTGTGTATCACTGCAGAGAGTTTGTCCACACAAGGACTTTCCCTAATAATCATCCCACATTTGTTGTCATCTTGACAGTAGAATGGCTGTGTGTGAGAAACACATAGTCCCAGTAGGGCATTAGCAGGGAAATCACAGGCAATTGCAGTAAGATGGCTCAGAAGAAAGTTGCCTCTGTCAGAGACTGCTTCTCAGTCAACATTTTCTCGAAAGAATTTTGCACTGCATTCATTTCAACTGAAAGAATAAAAATGATTCACCATGAATTTTTTTTCCTTTCAAAATGGGGGTTTGGTATCGTTTTTAAAATGTTGTATCTTATTAGACAAATGAAAATTAGAATATTTTGTTAAAAAAAAACCCCAGAACTACTGATAATGTTAGCGTGTTGGATTTTTTGGGGGTTTAGTTTGTTTGTTGGTTTTTTTGGTGTTTTGGGGGGGGTTTGTTTGTTTGTTTATTTTTAATTTTCATTGTTTGAAGTTTCTTCTGACCTCTGGTCAGACTTGTGTTATGATTTTGTGACAATCTTTGTGAAATGGGAAATTCGTTTATTATCATCCTTGAACTGACAAGCTGATCAGGCTTTGCTGCTTGTTTGCCTATAAAACTTAACCTGATATGTCTCTATACTTTTTAAAAAATTGCATGAGTTGTATTCCTGAAAGATAGAACTTTGATATGATCCTACTGTTTGTTCCTGGTATGTTTGATATTTCCAAAGCTAACCAACTCATCTATTTGGGAATCCTTTATTATAAGTTTAAAATTACTTCCAAGTAAAAGAAGAAAAATAATGTTATCATGTCATGTATTGTTTTCATTTGGATCATGGCATGAGTGAATTAGATGTCACAATGTAATTTTGCTAAAATGTTTAGTGAAGTACCAGCAGCTAAGGAAGCATGGATTATGTGATTATGCTGTCTCTGGCAATGATTGTGTTATGGAGATCGGCACTTCCCACTGTGCAAGTAATATGTGCAGGCCAGATTTTTTAAATAAAATGGCTGCATCTCTGGTTAAGACCTGTTATTCCTTTTTTACAGAGTGATAAAGCTGTGCTTGTTGAGCTGGCCAGAGTTCAGAAGTGAATTTTTAAGATGGTTATATCTTTCAGAAAATGAATCAAAACAGTGAGATTATCTTGAGTTTCCTTGTAAAGGGGTAATTTTTTCAAAAGATATGGAGATGTGAAAATGCAGTTTTGTCCTGAGCACAGAACCGAGCACTCAGAATGTCTTCCCATTTTTCTTTGTAGCCCTTCTTTTCCTTTTGAATCTATTTTAGGTGCTTCAATGCACAGTTCCCACCCCGTGACAGCAACAGAGTCTTTATGTGGTGTAGGATAGAACAGACTGCAGTGTGGGAGGATGGTAGAATACTGTAGCTTCATACTACAAGCAAATTTAGCAAGTGCTTTAAAAAGCCAAACTAAGAAATAATAAAGTCATGACCAAAAAATTCTAGGAATATAAATCTGAGGCTTATTTTATTCTAAGAGCATATCTAAGTGGAGAGAAAAGCACTGGGGATGGGTGGAAGAGCGCATTATTACAATAGTAGGAAAGAAGGTCAACCCAAATAAGTGATTTCCCAGCTGGCTCATAATCCATTGCATTAATAATAAAATTGATTAATCTTTAACTAATCCCCTTTTGCTTTTTTTTTAATTTTAAAATATTTTTACAGTTTAATGAGTTAGCTTCGCTAGATAAACATGTAACTAATAGACAGCAGGGTGAAGAAAGGATTCAGATATTATGGCTATTGTGAATTTCAGAGTTCTAGAAAGGTCTTAAAGGTTTGAGAGGGACGTAATCCTTTTGTCTCCTTGATATGATCCAGCCAATTGTTAATACAGGTTAAGTAACTTCCCAGTAACCTATACAGTTCCCAGTATCTGCTGGTTTGTCTGTGAATGAGCAACCTCTACTGAAGGTGCTCAGTTTTGGGCCCCTCACTACAAGAAGGACATTGAGGTGCTGGAGCATATCCAGAGAAGGGCAGTGGAGCTGGTGAAGTGTCTGGAGCACAAGTCTAATGAGGAGCAGCTGAGGGAACTGAGGTTGTTTAGCCTGGAGAAAAGGAGGCTCAGAGGAGAGCTTTATTGCTCTCTACAACTACCTGAAAGGAGGTTGTAACAAGGTGGGGGTCAGTCTTTTCTCCCAGGTAACAAATGATAGGACAAGAGGAAATGGGCCTCAAGTGCCAGAGGAGGTTTAGATTTGATATAAGGAAAAATGTCTTCACTGAAAGGGTTGTCAAGCATTGGGACAGGTTGCCCAGGAAGGTGGTTGAGTCACCATCCCTGGAGGTACTTAAAAGTGTAGATGGGGCACTTGAGGACATGGTTTAGTGGGGGACTTGACAGTGCTGGGTTAGCAGTTGGACTCAATGATCTTAGAGATCTTTTTCAACCTTAATGTTTCAATGAAAGCGTAAGAAAAGTGGCAACTTTCTTTGATATTCAGTAGATGGTGCTCTTCCCTTCTGCTGAAGTTACGGTTCATGCTGCTGGTGCATTAAGTGACATACTTCAGAAGTTATTTAAGCCTACAGTTCTTCTATCTATCTCTTATGCCACCACTGCTTGCTATGTGTTTTGCCAAGACTGTTAACCCCTGTGACTCGGCCAGGTCAGATTTAATCTCGTTTACTCAATTTATCGAAACACCCCACCTTCTCACCTGACAAAGACTAGTTAACACTATGTGAGGCTTGCGTCTACCAACATTATAGTGTCAGTCCCCAAGAAAGACACAGTATATGCCTTGTGCATGGATTTGATATCTCTCCAGAAGTGGACCTGTTGTTCCATTGGAGTGCAGCATTGTTCTGAAATGTCTCTTCTGCTCAGGTACAAACACAGACTTTTCTCAGCTATTTGGCTTTACAGGACCTACATCTATATTGGTGGACTCCAAAGTGTCCAAAGGGTGAGTTCACATGTCCTGGCACCCAACTTGATCAACCTTATTCCTGACATATGCTGGAGCAAGAACTGAGCATGCTCCAGCCTCCACCTGCTATCCCGCACCTTGGCTCCCCTCAGAAGAAAAAATTACCATAGCCGTTCCGGCCATGACCTTGATTTGGATTTTGTAGAAATGCTGGAGGCATGTAAGAGCATGAATCTCTTGCACAGTTGGGAGACAATCTGAGCGATGAGGTTTAAAGCATCACAAAAGTTGCAACCAAAACACTAAGCTGGAAGATTTACCTCAAGGATAGGAATGTTCCTGGAAATGCTAATAGGGCTTCCCAATAGCACCTGATGGACAGGGTGGATTCCTAGAAGGCTTTATTGAAAAGACAGAGAGACATTTAATTCTTGTGGAGGAAGAGTTGCTTGTTATATTGTAAACTTATTTGGTTTTGGAACACATTTCAGGTACATGTAGCAGAAGATGACTGAAAAGCCATCACAGACTTACCAATGATAAGTCATGCCTGAGTAGTCCAATTTCTTTGCAGATGAGGCAAGAGCATGGTGGTGTTTGGTCAAAGGTTGAACTTGATGATCTTGGAGGTCTTTTCCAGTCTTAATGATTTTATGATTCTATGATAGCACTGCATGTAGTTTACATTGACTTCGGCAAGACTTTCAATTCTGTCTCCTTGCATCCAAGTTAGCTATGAATAACTGGATGGTCAGGCAACTGAGTAAAAAGAGTTGAACGATTGTGCTCAAACAGTAGCAGGGAATGGGTTGCTCCTTACCTATAGGCAAGTTACATGAGGAAAATTGCAGAAGTGCATCCTGGGAGCTGTCCTGTTTAACAGCTTTATCACCTGGAATAGGTGACTCTATGCACTCATCAGATGACCTCAGACTGGGGGCACCATCAATACCCACAGGGGGAGGGCAGCCACTCAAGGACTGAGTTTAGACAGTTTAGACAGGCAGGAGGAAGGGACTGACAGGAACCTTAGGAAACTAATCAAAGACAAATGCAAAGTCCTGTACCTGGAAAGGAAGAGCCCTTGGCAATAGCGTAGGCTATGTAGACTGGCTGGGGAGCAGCTCTATGAGGAAGACCAGTGAGCTCATCACAAGTCAGCAGTGTGTCCTGGCAGGAAAGGAGGCTAAGAAAAGGGATTAGCTCTCTCTCTACTCATCACTAACTGAATCACCTCAAGATGCAGTGTCTAGTTTTGGACCTGTGATGACAAGAAAGACATCAATAAGTTGTCTAACTGGATGAAGTTTAGAGGGGAGGACCCCAAGTGGTTGGGTTTGCAGAACCTGTGCTTTGTGGATAAGGTTAGGGATGGGGCTGGTTAAGCTTGAGGAAGAGATGGCTTTTGAGGGGGACCTAACAGCAGCCCTCTCAGCATCCATGGGCACTGGGTGAGAGGAGGGATCCAGGCTATTCCCAGTGGTGTATGGCAAGAGCTTGAGAGAAAATGGGCATATGGTGAAAACAGTTTTCACCATGAGAACAGTCATTCAGGGGTGCAGGTTGCTCAGAGAGGTTGGACCAAAGACCTCCTGCAGTGCCTTCCAGCCCTAATTGTTCTGAGACACCTCAGATGTGGAAGAATACTGGTGGCTTTTCGTTTAAAAAAAAAAAAAAAAAAATGGCTACACCTCGTAATAAGGAAGGCATTTTGCATGTTCAAATTCCAAGTAGTTTCTGAAGTATGGAGAATCAAGTCTGATTAAAAAACTCCAAACATATCTCCCTGTCAGTTTATTATAGACTAATATAATCTCTGTTTTGGCAGACTAAAGGATACTGCTCCATTACACATGATGATGTACTACCATAAAGAGATGGATAGTTTAATAAGTACTAACTGTGTTTTAACAGTATTGCTAACAAATTAAACTGGTGCTCCTGCTTGTAAAAATTCAAAATATATTAGTTCAATTTGATTTAAAGTTACTAAGAAAGAACATCTCTTTTTACCTTCCCACTGGATTTTCCAGCTTGCTGGTGATTTCTGCCGCAGACTTTCTGCTAGTGACACCTACTCCCAGCTGGACCCGCAGAAATGTTTCTGACAGATGCTTGTCTTCTGTCACAATCTCTTTGGGGTTTGCAGAAAAACCCCAGACCAGGCCCTTCCAGTCTGCATTGTAGGAAACAAACCAGAAAGTCTATGACAATAATTTTTGAGTGATTGCCCTGCAAAAGTAATGATGGAATCAGATATTTGAACTCTTCTGTCTTTGACACATGCACAACACTGTCATAGAGAAAAATCACTCTGAAGGTGGGATGCCTCCATCACTACTACGGAAGAAACAATGGAACTATCTGGTCTCAGTCTCTAAAGACATATTTACACTTGTCACATCCTACAGATTACAGACAGAGGACCCATAGCATAGCACACTGAGTGAAAAGGCCACCATGCAAGAAGAGGTGTGGGTCTAGTTTATATGGAGACTAAACCAGAAGCTCCCTTGGATGCGGCTGTTCAGACTCTTAGGCTGGATGTAGTCTGGGTTTCATCCTCTAAATGAGTAAGGATTCAAAGAATGGTTGGAGCAGCAAACAAATCTACTTCCAAGCTGGTTTGCTCATTCCTATTCAGAGGTGAACATTGGATACAGTTCATAGTCTAGCAAAAATAGTAAAAGTAGTCATCAAAATCAATATTGATTACCAGCTATTTCAGAATCAAAACAAAATTCAGAGTTGATCTTCAAATGATTCCTTAAATTAATCAGTTTTTATTTTCTCTTTGTCTCTTATTTGGCATGTGCTCTGTTACCCTTTACTAGTTGCATTTAACTGAACAGGATTTTTAAAGCTCTGAATAATCTTTCTAGTATGGGAAAAAATTCTACTGTGAGAAAGAGGATAGCAGGCAGCACTAATTATCTCCAGAACAGAGTTCTATGTCAAAGAAATCCAAGCCTTGAAATATACTTTCCTGTCAAAGCTTGGCTTATTAATATGCTTATCAGTCATGTAAATATTCCAAGTATGTGTCATATAATACAAATTGGAATGTGTCAGTGTCATGTGGATGATATATACAATCCTTTTTTTTTTCTTTTTTTAATTAAGTCTTTTCAGAAGTGCATTTATACTGTTGTGTGGTTGTTGTTCTCTCTCCTGCCAAGCCAGCAGTGGGGGGCAGGCTCCCTGCACACTACAGAGTTCTGGTCTTTTCCAGCAGGAAAACTCAAGCAACCAACAGTTTTTTTGATCCTGACCTTAAAGCTCAGTAAGGGCTGATGTTCATCTGTGTTGTCAAAAAAGCCTTGACATTAAAATGTTTTCCCATTTTTTTTCTTTCCCTTCCCTTGTCTCTTCATGTAAATGTTCAGAAGTCAGACATCATAAACCATCTCAGAAGACCGGTCATTTGAAATAATAATTTTCTTAACATGCATAATTCTGCCAGCTGGGTGCCCCCTCAGGCAGAGCCTTTGCTGTGGGCTGCACTGGGACCAGCTACATGATCCCTGCAGCAAATCAGGAACACGAGTCTTGCCCGCAGGTCTCTGACTTTCATCTCCTATTTCCCTCCCTACCCCAGACAGAGAGGGTTGATGCTTCTGAAGGATGTGACAGTGGCTAACAAGCTGTCCTGTCCCTTGGTTGGCAGGCATGCACTTGTCCACCACAATTCCCATGCATGCTGAAGGGGTTGATGCCCTGAAGACCTTGGCACTCGGGAGGGCTCTTGAATATCTGGAAGTAAGTGTTCCCCTTCAGTTCTCATCTGCTACCAGGACCTCCACAGGCACACCCTGAAAGGCATAGGAAACCTTCTACCCCACCATGTAGAGAAGAGCAACCAGCCAGGCTCCCACCACCATCAGAAAGCTTTTGGGGGGGTGAAAGACAGTGATTCTTTGATGACTGAAGAAAATGAACAGGTCTGCTTGGTGTTTTTTTAAAGGACTGTAACATGATTAATAATTTTTTTTTATGGTCTCCTTTTGCGAGCCCCCATATGTAATGGCTATCTAAATGCTCTATGTTATGGTATCTGGTCGCTTTGTATAAAAAGGGGGGAAGTTTTACCTTGATGCCTCCAAGATTCTCCCAGCTGGTCTTGCAGCAGTAGGTCATCAAATGCATCTGTCAAAGGTGCCAAACAGGGAATGCAGGTGTATGCAGCTTAAGTCACACCTGTCCCAGAGGAGAGAGGATAGTAGTAGCACATTTCCCCTGAATCCTCCTGCTCCTGGAGTGCTCCTTGCACTTGGTGAGTATTTTGCAGAAGAATAAAAAAGGGAAAATGTGTTTTCCTTGTACATGTTCTCATGACGTCATTGAGCTATCTAACAAGCACAGTTCAGGATTGCTCGAAATTACCTGAACTGCAGATACTTCACCTTTTGCATAAATTTAGTAGTATGGCAATTAAAGTCACACTCATATAAACAGATGTAGTTTAGTCCCCTCTCTTCTTCTGGTTTCTTACAGTGAAGGAGTGTTCAACATGGAAAATACTGTGGAGATTTTTTTTTTTAACAAAAATGCATTGAGCTAGAGCACCTTATTACAACCTACACGCTCTCTCCAAATTTATATAATTTTGTTACTGGGAAGTAATTTCTCTCTATGTTGAAAGAAGAAGAATTTTTAGTTTGGGCCTACATTTTTGTAAACTTATATCTCCTAACTTTCAGCTCTTCGGTTTTAGACTCCGTACTCCAGCTAAAGTGGTCCTAGTGCAAAGACTGGGGATGTCCATCTGCATTGCTCTCTGTGCAAGACCTCAAACCCAAAGCAGACTAATTTGTTGCCCAGACAACTTATTTCTGGCTTAAGGCTTTTTTTGTCCTCTTTGTTGTTATAGTCACTCACCAAAACACATATGTATTCCTTGCTCTACCTGCTGTCTGAACAGGTATAATTTCCTATCAAGGGCAGTGTCTACAATGAGAGTACAAGGGCCTTACATTTTTAATTAAGCACTATTTAAAAATATGTTAGCAGCCGCGAAAGCCAGATGTTACAACACCAATAGGCATTTGTTGATTATGGTCATCTCTATGGTCCACCTGACTGATGCACTTTTTAACATTTTAGGTGGCTAACATTAAAAGCTAAGAAAGTACTTACTTAAAATGCAAAAATTTTAATTTTTCTTATTTAAGTAAACTCTAATCCAGTAATGAATAAAGACTCATGTAAGATAACTATTCTTCCATCACTCCGGGTTTTAAATATGCCATTTTCAGAATACTTGAAGTTGAAATCTTTTCCTGATAGCCAGGCTTTCAAGATAAAACAACATCATTGTTATTATTATTTTTGGCTAGATAATTCAGTTACAAGGAACATACTCACAGATGCACTTCCTCTTCCCTCCTAAATTCCTAAACTCTCAGTATAACATGAATCTGGCTGAACATTTTGCTTGAATTAAGAGACTGACACTTCCATGCTGTGTATTTTTGACACTCGTCTCTCACATCCTAGCCTTCAATAGTCCACCCCTACTTTTTCTGAATTCCCTGAATATGTACAGAACGAAACCCCTTCTCTCACACTTAGACTAAACACTGTCAGTATGGGTCAGGGTCCTGGGTTACTACTTTTATTTATGTTAAACTTTTACCTGAGAACAGTAACTTGACTGGGAGGCGAAAGTGGCAGTAACACTCAGATCTCAGACATGAACAAATCTGAGCCCTGATGTGAGTTATTGCAGATGGTGGGTTAAAATGGCCTAGTGTCCCAGACACTAGGACATGGCATGTGACCCTGCTGCTTCCCCAGCCAGTCTGTGCGCAGTGAGCAGGAGGAGATCCCATTGGACATTGGACTAAACCCTTGCTGCACAACAGTGAGTCAGGAGAAGCTGTCAGGTGCTGCTTTGCTATCCTTGCCACACAAGGCATGCTAAGGTTTTCATCACTTCAGCTATTTCAGCCTTTATTTACCCCAAGTAATAGGAAGTGGAGAGCATATTAAAAATTTACCATATTAAAAAAGAGGTCTCTGAGTGTGGGTTATTGAACAGCTATAAAGAGCAGTGGCCCTTAGGAGCAATGAAGGGCGTTAGGTCTCTAGAAATGAGAGGACTTTATGTCTTCATTGATTATTGTCTTAATTTTTTTGTAATCAATATTAACTGAGCAGAGCCAGTTTGCTCTTCCAGGCTTTTATTTCTAATTAGAACTAGTGAATAGTCAAGGGAACAAGACAGAGGAGTCATTGATTGAGCCATATAACAGATTTCTAAATAAATAGACTACTGGTTCCCTCTGGGGAAGCAGCATGTCACTCACAGATAGTGTTACACTGACAGGTGTCAGGGATTAGTTTGTCATGTAATATTTAATCCTAAAAATGTTTCTGGAGGCACTGTCAGAGTAGAAGTTGAAATTTGTGTAATGTTATATTTCTTTTGAATTCAGAGTGAGAAAACTTTGCAAACATTTGAGTTCACAGTTTGAAACCTAGCAATGATAGACTTTGGTCAAGAAGGATATATAACTTTTCCACAGAAAGGTAAATGTACACCATGTCAGAAACTTTGTTCTTGTGACTGATTTAGATGATATAGAAACTGCTTTTGAAGTCAGATTGTGTCATTTGTTGTTTGGTTTTGGGGGTTTTGGGGTTTTTTTTTAATACCCTTTGGCTTATGCACTTCTTGCAGAATCCAGCCCTGTGTCCTACCAAGTTAAAATGCTGATCCTTCAGAAAAAGAAAATGGTACAAAAAGTTGTTAAGAGGGCAGACAGATAAGTGTGTTATCTGGAATTCCCACAGATCCTAATGCCAGGACAATCTTGCAGCACTGATTCAAGGGGGGAAAATATCCTATTGATGAAACAATTATTTTCTTACTCAGTAAGGTCTAGTCTGACTGTATTTTCAAATTAATGAAGTACGCATAACGCTCAAAAAGGGGGAGAGACAAAAGAGCCCACACAGCTTCGAAGACCATGAAGTGATAATGAGTTATACACTCTTTGCTCTGACAAATCCATGTAGGGTTTCATGCAAAGATGTCCTTAACTGTCTCATGACAAATTCCTAAACCAGAAGAATTGGGGCAGGAGTATAAGAGAGACACCAGTGATGGACTTAGAGGACAAAGGAGTTCCATGCTCATCCCTTGTGACTAGATTGCAACATCCCTGGCACTTCCAGAGTGATGAAATACATATCATGATACAATTTAAAAACTCTGTCTCATTTAAGTGAAGATGAAGGGTTGTGAGGCAAGAAACTCTCTTTAGTACATGTTGGAGTTACTTATGTTTCACATTCTAAACCAATGTTTGTTTTGATCTTTAGAGTACAATTCTGCATCAGAAAATAGTAGAGTTCATGATGAATTGTTGAGCATTAGCAGCATGGGGGTTTAGGCACAAGCTCTGCTTGCATTTTATGAGTACAACTGTTACTTGACGCGGTATTTTAAGTGAAATATTGGAAAACTCAATGAATCACACAGCTTTGCATAGAGAATATAAAGAGTCTTCATTTTCTATTTTTCGTGGGTTTTGATTTTTTTTTTTGTGAGAGTTTAATACATTTCTGTGTCTTAATGATACCTGAAGAAATCTTTTGGGTTTGCTTCCTACTACATTCATTCTCCACTTACTTTCTTCTCTCTGCATATGCTGCTTGCTACTCTTTCCTGTTACTCATGGTTCTCGTAAGGAGATTTTGGAAGAGCACCTCCATGTTGTCTTCTACTGCAGATACAAATGGACACAAAGAAAAGGATACAGCGAAATCCTCAGATTGGAAGAGGAAATGCAAATAAAGTAAGAAGAGAAAAATCTCATTCTCAGCTGGAGGAGTCTTAGTAAAATAGACCATAAAATTGTAAGAAACCATATTGTCTTTTAAGCTAATTGTGTCTATTTTAGGATGTCTCACCCCAAAAGCATTGACAGAACACTTATTCCTTAGCACCTAAATGTCATTCCTACTATTCAGCTACAGACATTTAAAGCTGACAATATAAGTTTCCATTGCATGTTATCATTAACAAAACCAAGACCTGGGTGCATTCATTACTCATGGCTATAAGATACCAACATGATACAGCCACAAAAGCAGTTACTGAAGTTAAAGAACAGTGTTGTCTTGTTGTCACAAGAATATACAGATAGGAACTGTTAAAAATCATATTAAAATTCTATATATTAGGATCTTAAGATCTTAAGGCATCAGAACTAGCCATCTAAAACCATCACCTGGAAATTAGATTTCTAAGCATCAAAGCTGTGAAGTGCTGCTATGAATTCCTGCTCAGTAGTGGGGGTTAAAACTCAAATTCCACTTGAATACTTTGAGGGAGGGATTCCACAGTAGTAGCAGAACCTACACACCACAGTCCAGGAAGATCCTTGTGTACTGCGCACCTTGGAGAAGGGGAGACCTGAGTTCAACGGACATAAGACACATACAACAAATTCCTGCCCATTTTTTATTCTGTTTTCATCATCTTTCCTTTTTCTCCAATTCTTT